GGCATGGCAGGGCGCCTGGACCAACTCCAGAAAGTCAGCATGTGGGAAACAGGGCTCGTACTCTTGGCTGGATCATGCTGGGCTCTGCAGAGGTCTCCCCCCGGCCTCTCTAGAGGGAATGGATATAGTCAGACCCATTTGCCCTCAGCCCAAGGGATCAGGATTTGTTCTGAGAAAGAAGGTGTTGGAGGTGGGATTTGGAAGGATGAGTAGACATTTGCCAGCAAGTGAAAGGCATCCCAGGAATGTGACATGTAGGAGGCCCCAGTTCTGCCCTATCTGGTTCCTGTTACTGAGTGACCCCAGACAGGCCCAGCACCCTAGGTATTTGCCCAACTTGATGTAGGCAAGGATAAAGGCGAGCCCAGTTTCAAATCTAGGCTTTTTCCCACTTCCTGGGTAACTGTGGCATGTGGAGACATACTAAGATTGGCCCCAGTTTACAGAATAAACTGAAGCTAAAGAGGGAGACCACCTACCCTCTGACTCAGAGGTAAGTGGTCAAACTAGAAGCTGCAGTCAGGACTCAAGAGTGGACTCAAGAGTGGGTAAGGGTAGTCCAGAAGTGGGGGAGGGATCACTCTCCCAAGCTAACATCCTGAATTTTGAGAAATGGAGAGGAGGGGAGGAAAGAGCAGCCTGGCCAGTAGGCATATCAGGTACAAAGGCCCTGAGGTAGAAGCCTATTTGACAGCCTCCAGGAATAGTGAGGAAGCTGATGAGCTGGGGCAGATGGAAGGAATGGAGGGTGAAGTGGCTACAGGAGTCATTCAGGGTCTTGTGGACCATGAGGGGCCAAGATGGTTTGGAGCAGGGAAGAAATTGAATCTAGAGTGACCACTTGTAGCTCACTGGTTGTTGACCTGGACATTCAGAGGCCTAGGAGTCTCCACACAGGCTCCTGTCTGCTAGTACACATCAGCTTAGGTCAGCACAAGCTGGTGCCTTCCAGTATAAACCAGCTCTTTCAACAAGTACCAGCACCCACTGTACAGAGACACATATGCCCCACACCCAGGCCCAGAATTTCAAATGTACCAACCAGCTCTTCTACTTTCCATATCTGCTGAGATGTGTAAACCCATCAGAGCCCATGCCTCTGGCAACAAGGCAGAAATGCAAACACGTATGTGGACAATGGTGGCTCCATTATTTCTAGGTCATTTGCAAACACACACACACACACACACACACACACACACAAGCATGTGCATGCGTATACACCCCCCACCCCAACATGCGTCATGCAGAGGCTCAGGAAGCACGGCTAGGGGCTCCCTCGAGAGCTGGCTTCCTGTTTTCAAAGAGGTCTGGAACTGCTGGTGGAATGTTCTGGATAAGCCCGGTCTCTTCACATTGCCTCAAACCCCCACCCCATGCAGGCCCACAGCCTCTGCACCCCTTCTGTGCCCAGTACTGACCTTGTCTTACAGTGAAGTCAGGCTCCAGATGAGGAGACGGAGCCTCAAAAAGGTCCTACAACCAGCCCAGGGTCACCCAGGAAGGAGGAAGTGGTATTGGGAGTATGCTGGGGTTGGAGGTTCACAGGTGGGGAATTGCTCCCTGCTGGGTCCCAGTTTCCCCACTCAACCCCAGGTTCTCCTACCCCACACTTAACACACATCCATGTCTCCAAAAGAATGGTCACCTGTATCATAAACATTAACAGTGTCAATTTCAAACAAAGCAGATCCAGTCCCCACCTCAGGAGACTGGTAGGAGGGGAAGAACCCAGTCCAGGAACAAATAAAAATGTCTGCACTGCTCTTTCTATGCTCTAGTCTCACAGAGCCATTGGGTACCTGAGGATACTTCTGGTTCTCTCTTTGCCTGCTTACCATTCTTCTGCCTGGAGTGCCCTTCTCTAGGTCCCGGGTGAACTCCTCTTCATTCGTCAAAGTCCTCTCCTCCTGGACCTTCCTAAGACCCTCCAGTCCCTACTCTTCCCACTGGCTCACCCTGACTCTACAGTCCTGGGTGGGGGGGAATGTGGCCTCTACAACAATGTCTTGGAACTGTTCTAAAGTCCTCGATGTGATGGCTAAGATGGCCCTGTTATCCCTATGTCCCTGCTGACAAAAGGCTCTGATTGGCCAGACCTGGTCACATGTCCACACCTAGAGCCAGCGAATGAACCAAGCAGAGAGAGTAGATGCCCTCAAGACCCTTTCACCAAAGACTTAGCAGTCCTCTGCCTGTCCTATCTTAGTTGGGAAACATTGGGCAAGTCGCGAGTTCTCTGTACCTCAATTTCTCTACCTGTAAATGGGGCTGGATATGGGAGTACAGAAGGCCAATCCAGACATGCCAGCTCCCCTGCTCCCCATCCCTGCTCAACAGGTCCTATTTATCCCACCCCCATCCTTTATTGTTCTCTGTGAATCATACCCCACCTCCCCACACCCTCCAGTGATAGGGCCGCTCAGCGTGGCAGGCACTGATGGCCTCCGGCTAAGTCACTGCTCCCTCCTGGGCCCCTTGCCCAGTCGATGTTTTCTGGGGAGTTTTCCTGGCCTTCCATGAACATCAAAAAGGAGACTCCTGGGTGGGGGAAATGAGGACAGAGTCTCATGTAGATAACTTTCTGTGCAACCTGGCAACAGTTCAAATCCCACATCCTGTCTCCCCACCCTACCCCCATCACAGGGAGGCCATACCTCTTCCCCTTAAAGTTGGGGGACTCCATGCATCCACCAGTGAACACGCCTCCAGCACTCGCCAGGGCCTGGCCACCACGGATGCTGGGATCTGGGGTGAGGGTGATCACTGTCCTATCTGTTCAGACAGGTGTAAGCTAATTGTATGCACATGTGCGCACACACGCACGTGGGTCTGTTAGTGGAGGCCTCGACCATGTGTGCCACGTTTGATGGCCCATTGTGTCTCTGCACATGCGTGTGAAAATCACGGCTACCCTACCCCTGTGGGCAGAGCCTAAAAGACAGAGAGAGCAGTCCCTGACTGGAAAAGGTGCACCAGGTCGGGGGATCTCCTGGGCATGGGTGTGAGGGCTGGGGAATTGCTGGTGCATCTAGACACAGGGAACAGCAGGGAGTATCTAGACACAGGGAACAGCAGGGAGCAGCAAGGTCACAGGGAACAGCAGGGAGAGCAGTAGGTCATGAGGCGGCAGGGGCTGGGTGGTCAAGCAGGGCTTGGAATGCTAGCTGGCTGAGGAGATGGGGAGCTTTGTGTGAGCCTGGGTGGGCCCAGGCAGAGCTGAGCTTTGAGAGGAAATGTCGTCAATTCTAAAATATTCATGGAGCTGCTACTGTGTGTGCCTGGAGCTGGAGACACAGGGGGGCCCTGGGGAAGCATATATCACCGGAACAAAAAGTAAACTTGTAACTCTGGAGAGAGGGAAAGATCAGGGAGCAAAATGTATCAGGGCAGGGGTAGGGGGTACTCTGGGCTGAGGTTGGGGAGGGCATCTTGATGAGATGTGTGTGATGTGATGACGTCTGCAGGGGAGACCATCCTGGAGCAACCTGAGTAGAAGGAACTCCTGGTGGGAAGCACAGTGGTGCAAAGGCCCTGAGGTGGGCATAAGTAGGCAGAGGGACAATATTCAGGAAGATCTAATCCCAGAATAGGGAGGGGAGGCATCGGGGGCAGCGCTGGTGGGAAGTGGGGTCACCAGGACAAGCTGTCCTGTAACTAGAACCCAGCAGGAACACAGCCCCCTCCCAGCCACCCCCAGTGCTCCCTGCTTGCTCAGGACAGAATGTGCTGAGAGGAGAGGCCACGGTGGCTGCGCCTGGTGGCTGGAGCTGGGTGGCCGGAAGATTCCTGAATAGCAGCCCAACTGGGCCCCCTGCCAGCGAGGGCGGAAAACACGGTGCCTTGCTTGCCTGTCACCCCATGTCCCGGCCCTGTCAGGGTCAGGGCAGGAGACAGAGATGGTGAGAGAGTCAGAGACTGAGAGAAACAGAGGAGAGGTGACCAAGAGAGGCAGGGAGTGAGAGTCAGAGACAAAGAGACAATGAGTGAGACAGAGATGCAGAGACAATAATACAGAGACAGGAGGAGACAGAGGCAAAAACAAACAGGGACAGAGAACTAGTGAGGGGAAGAGATAATGAGAGAACATGGAGTGGCAGAGACAGGGGACACGACGACAATGAGAAAGACAGAGACTGAGTGAGACAGAGAGTCCTGGCATTTATCTCTCTGCCTGGGAGGCAGGTGCTGGGAACAAATGCAAGGGGGGTGACACATCCCCCAACAAAATTTTCATCCACTCCAGAGTAGGGAGGGGCCCCTCTCCGATCACTCAGTCAATCAGCAATCCCCCTCATACTTGCCTTGTGTTGAGACACAGGACACAGCCCTGTCTGGACCCATCCTCAAAGGTTCTGACAATCAGGTGAATATATAAATGAGAATCATGAGAGTAATGAGGGCTAGAAGACGGGATAAAGGATGGGGAGGGAGTAATGGGGGTGGCAGCTTTAGCCAGGAGGTTGGAGTGTCCCTGAAAAGATGAGGCTGGAGGTAAAGAGGAGCCAGTCACAGGGAAGTGTCTTTTAAACAGAGAAAACCACATATTCAAAGGCCCTGAGGTGGGAACCAGCTTGGGGTGTTTGCTTTGGTGTAGCCAGGGATCAAGGGGGACCTGAAAGGAGTGGGTGGCAACTCTTAGGGGTCTGGGGAGAAATAGGATTTTATTTTAGGAGTGTCTTTGATCATTCTCCTCTGGGTCTTAAAGTCCCTCCCTGTGTGCAGGGAGTTCCTTGAGTTGGGCACGTCTGGGCCAGCTCCATCCTACTTGTCATTTATTTAACCAGAAAAGCTGCCTCCTTTAGGGATCAGAGTCCCAATAGTTGCAGATGCAGAGTCCTAAGGACACATGGTGGCTTATCCTCTCAAACCTGCTGGGGGAACCTTTCATAGAATTGTACCCACATCTGCTGTTGTGATAAACACATTAGATGCTGTTCCAGAACATGGAACTGGCAACTGGAATCTTGTGTCTTGCATGTCCCCGGTGACCCCCTCTTTGAAGCTGTCATTTTGGTGTCTGCGGTGACTGTACTGTGGGAATATCTCCCCTCATCTGATCTGGGTCACAAGGACCCTAAATCTGGTGTGCTCTGAGCACATGCCTGGTGCAGATGCTGCCCGGCTGGGAAGGGGGTGGACTCAGGATCAGGAGTAGATGGAAGTAACAGAACAAACGTAAACCTGCTAAAGGGTAACTGGGCACTGTGGAGGGGAGATATCCTAGTCTAAGATGGGGAAACTAAGTCTCAGGTGCAAACCTGAACCCAGATCTCCAATGCCTAGCCCCTGCCCTGCCAATCTTCATCCTTATCCCTGGACCCTGACAATGGCATCCTGGGCTGCTAATTTTCACTCCTTGGGCAGGCTGGAGGGCACAGCTAACCGGAATTCTAATTTCACCTTCCTACAAAGGGCGGGGCCTCGGGGCCCGAGTGCTGGTCCAGTGGGATGGCCTAGTGGGCGTCACTTGGGTGGTGGGGGTATGGACTCCAGAGAAGCAGGGCCTGTTTTGAGTGGTGACTCCATCAGTCCTGATTGTGGGACCCTGGGCAAGTGGCTCCAGAAAATGACAGCCTTCATGCCATGAGGGCTGCCTTAGAGCCCAGGAAATATCAAACGAATTCTTGCCTCTTACTTCCACAGCAGCCTTTTCCTGAGGGCCAAACGTGGGATCACCCGCATCAATGGAGTGAATGGATGAACACAGTGTGGCCCATCCACACAGGGGAGTATCTCGCGACAATGTGGATGAACCTCAAAACACGCTGAGTGAGAGACCAGACACAACAAGCCACAGTGTGTGATCCATTCATATGAAGGGCCGGAAAGAGGTAAATCCAGACAGAAAGCAGATTGAGGGGGATGTGGAGTGGCTGCTCATGGGTATGGGTCTCCTTTTTGGGGTGATGGATATTCTAGAACTAGAAAGAGATGGTGGTTGCATATTATTATGAATGTCCTAAATACTAGAGTTGTACACTTTAAAAAGACTAATTTGATGGTATGTGAATTGCACCTTAATTAAAATAAAAACAAGCTAGACTCAGACAGGTAAGCTTCCTAGGTTTGGAAGATCTTGACCAGGGATGGTGGTCAAGGCCACCCCAGCTTCCTCAGTAGCTGGGGGGAACGGGGCAAAAAGGGGATAGAAACCAGCAAATCCAGTCTTTTCCTCCACATTTTTATTTTAAAAAGTAATTGTACAAAAGAGAATGATTTAAGGCTTATCATAAACACTGACTCCCAAGCAGCACTCTGCCCCACCCAGGGCTAGAACTCTGCAGTTGGGAGCTTATGCAGCTTTCCCCTCGTGCCCTGTCACACCAGGACACAGGGGTCTCTACAGCCCTGCTGTGTCACTGCAGGCTGACCTCTGTCCCCAGGGCCTAGCTTGATCTCTCATGCCCTGCAGTCTTTGGAGGATCCCCAGGTATCCAAGCTTGGACAAGGAATCACTAGTGGGTTTTCAAAGGCTTCAAAGGTTGGAGCTGCTGCCCCACTAAGCTCCTATCACTGGCTTCCCTGAACACCTGTCCTGAGTCATCTCGTCTGTCGAACCTTGCTGTGTCTCTCTGACCAAGGCACTTGCTCTCTCAGTCCAGTGCTAAGATGAAGGTGGCAGCCTTCACACCCAGCTCAGTTCTGACCTTCTCTGACTTCTCCTCCCTCTTGCTTGTCTGCCTGTTGAGCTCTTCCCTATATGCCAAAGCCTCAGCTAAAATGCCCTCTCCTGTAGGCAGTCTTCTCTGCTCCTCTTTGGACTCTTCCAGCTGAGTCCCTTCCTCTGGTCCCATGAGACTATACATGTCTATGTCTGGCTCTGTCTCCATCAGACTAGCAACCCATGGGACCTCAGTACTTCCCAGAGGCTGGCACAGGTAGTCTCACATCCTGTGCCGGGCATTGGATGCCTTATGTGGACGGCCAGTCCAAACAAGTCAGATTTCAGCTGGCTCTTCCTCAGCCTGTGTCGTGCTGAAACAGCCCTGTCTCTTTCTGAGACTTAGTTTCCCCAACTCCAGTGCAGTCAGGCTGGTCCTTCTTGGCCCAGCCACTCCCCCTGTCCACGGTGGCTGGAAGCACGTGCATAAACCTATCCTTCGAGGTATTCATTTGCTCCTCAGCAGGTCATGCAGCGTGGCCTCATGGCCTCAGAGGGTGGGTTTGGATCCTCCTGTAGGAAATGGTCCTGTCAAGTCTTAGTGGGAACCCAAGGCCAGATATACCCCTCCCTGCCCCACCCACATCCAGGCATCCAGTGGGGGAGTGACACTTAGAGCAGACTGGGATGAAAGGCGGGTTTGAAGAGTCAATGCATAGGTGCCCCATTTGTGCTTACAACTCATCTGTGTATCAGATGCCCCCATCTCAGACACCAGGGCTTGGACAGTTGAAGGGGTTCCCCGAGCCCTGAACTCACCTCTGAGTACAGGGGTGGTGGGCGGTAGCGGAACTCCTGAATGTAGGCAAAGAAGGGGCCTTCCAGGTTCATGTGGTGGTCCCGTAGCACCGGGACGGGGCTCTGTTCCGAAGCTGCCACCTCCTCCTCTGCTACCACCTCTGAGTACTCCGGAGGGGCTGGAAGTGAGAGACATAGATTAGACTGGAAGAGGAGGAGAGCGGGGAGAGGGGCTCCAAAATTGAGGACAAGGGCCAGAAACTGGCTTGTGTCAGTTCTGGGGCTACCAGGTTGAGGTCTCAAGCTGGGCTTCTGGGGGGATCCACGGCCACCATGAGGATTACTGTGTGCTTTTATAGGTGGGGGACTTGAGGCTGGGGGAGGGTCACCTGACAAGCAGGCTGGGGAGCTTACCCTCAGGTGGCTCTGGGAGGGTTCCCAGCCCCCAGTCCAGCAGGAAGCTGGCATGGCTGCCCACACTGGAAGAGCGACTGCCAAAAGGGTGCAGAGGGATGGTGCCGATGACCAGCGGCAGCTCCAGGAGCAGCTTGGATGTGCCTGGGATGTCCACGCAGACCTGGAGAAAGAGCCACAATGGAGCAAGACCAAAAAGCCTTGGGAGAACCCCAGCCTGGGAAACCAAGCAGAAGCAGTCACCTCAACTCCTAGGACCACCAGGACACTCACCTTGAGGGCGTAGTCCACGTGCAGCACACGGCAGTCCAGGATGGATGGACCAACAGGAGGGATTCGCAGTGCCCGGCCCTGCCATAGCACCCGCCGCCCAGGGCCCACAGGCTCGCCAGAGAGACTGGCCACTACAGCTCGTTTCTGCTTCCGGGCGCCTCGAGCCATGAAGGTCTGTGTCTGGACCACAGCCGCCCGAGGCAGCACTGGGCGTGTGGAGCTGTTGTCAATCTCAGCAAAGACGGGGATGACCTCACCTGTGGTGGGGAACAGCAGGGCTTCAGTTTCTCCACCTGCAGCCCCAACATTGTCTTCATTCCCCATCCAGCCCCTCTGGCCTATTACCTGGTGTGTACCCTTTGCGGTCGATCTTGGCTGAAAGGGAGACGAGGCCTCGATTACTGTACCAGGATCGGGCGACCTTCTCCCGAGCTCCAGCCTGAGGGGCCTGGGGGGTGCAGAAAAGGTACATGAATGGATCACTTTGTGCATCCACCAACTTTGCACAGCTTCCAAACACCCCCCCCGCCCCCTCCCCCCGCCCCCAGCTGAGGGAGGACTTGGGACAAGGCCTGATTTCCTTCTAAGGCCTGATTTTCTTCTAAGAAGCCAGGAACTATCTATAAAATGGATCAAGGATACAATCCATCTCATTAAGCTAAAAACAAAATGAACTAGGCAGGTGCTTAGTGTATAATTAGTGCTCAGTAAGCCATTATGATTGCAAGCTCTGTCCAAGCTCTATTTCAGATGAGGCTTCTGAGGCTCAGAGAGGGTAAGACAACTTGTCCAGAGCCACAGAGCAGATTGGTGCAACTGGGATTTGCACCCAGCTCCAATGGACTCCAAAGGTGTTCCTATGCCTGCCTCCCTCCCTGCCAGGACCCAAGTGGGAGCTCTGCTTTGTGAAAGGAGCCAGGCACCTGCCTGTGGTGTTCCTGTCCCACCTCCTTGGAGGCAGCCACTCACCAGCAAGGCTGGTGTGTTGATGTCCACCGGCTCAATGACAGTAAATACCTTCCTTGCCCGGCGGGCAGGGACCCAGGGTCGGTGCAGGATGGCCTTGATGCAATATCGGACACTGCCATGTTTGCCCTCAAATGAGGTCACCAGGGTCCTGGGGGATAGGAAAGGGGCTTCAGGGGGGAGATACAGAGCCAGGTGTACATAGGGGTAAACTGAGGCCCAGGGTAATTCTAGGCTTTATGGGGAGTATTGGGAGGGTCCCTGGGAGGAGACACACAGACACTCCTGAGAGTCCCCCAGGAAGACAGTCTTAGGGTTCTGGGGTTCCCAGAAACTGAACCAAATCTGGAAGGGGCTGTAGACTTTGGTACTCTCCCATATCCTGCACCCCAAATGACTTACGGGGGCAGCTGGAAGCTGAATGGGAACTCGTGGCGTCCAGGAGGTAGCATCGTGGTCTCTCCAGTGTCTGCAGGTAGGAGCAAGAGGGAACGGCTCAGAGACCGCCAGGTTCCTGGAGCGCGCGCAGCAGGAGCACTGCGCCCGGGTCCCAGGCTCCTACCTGGCACTAGCAGCGTGGCACGGTGGCTCACGACCTCCACACGCTCACTGTAGGTCTGCGTGTATGCGGTGCTCGAGCCTGCGCTGCGTGACTCGGTCCAGTGCACGTGGGCGCGGCCCCGCGCGCGCAGCTTCAGAGTGCCCACGCGCGCCGGGCCCGCAAGCTCTAGTAGCACCCGGCCGGCCACGGCCTGGCCGCCGCAGAACACGGGTTCGGCGCCGGCGCTCGCGCCATCCAGCTGGATTGCGAACGCCTTCACCTTGTCGAACAGCATCGTGGCCTGGGGTACGAACCAGCGACGCGAAAACCCTGGACTCGAACCCACGACTACACCGCCCCAGGTTCCGGCACTGCAGCTCCAGTAAGCGAACTCGCCGCTCGCACGCAAGCGCACTCGCCCACCCGGCCAGGGACTCAGAACCCTGCGCCGGCGCCGCCTTTATATGGCAGGGCGGGGCGGGCGGGGCCAGAGGCCACGCCCCGGAGGGAATAGGCCAATGGAGAGGCCAGGGCGTGGCTCCGTCCAGGCGTGGAGCAAAATAACAAAACGCCCCCTTTCCCGCCAGCTGCTGTCTACCCTCGGGATCCCGGGGTTAAGCTGAAATATCGGGGACCAGAGCTACTCTCTCTCAGACCCCCGGCTGCAGAGCGGAAACTATATCCCGGAGGCCGGCCTGGGCCTGTGATGGCCTGCGAGAGCATTCCGTCGCTCGCTTTAACCGTTAACCAGCCACCACTTGCAGACGTGACGGGCGGCATGTCCCGGCAGAAGTGGGGGCCGGGGGGTGGTTGTGGTGTGGTGTGTGTGTGTGTGTGCGTGTGTGTGTGTGAGAGTGATGGTGGCTTGGCCGCACAAGTTGCCCAGAAAGCCTAGCAGTAACCCGGCCTCACTTTCCCTGGGTACAGGGAAGGGGGGAGCAAGAGGGCGGCGCCTCTCTCCAGAGCCCCGAACTACCCAGGGCCTCTTTCCCCTCCGCCGCGAGAGACGAGAAGGCGTGAGTGCGGCCTCCCTCCACTCTGGCACCCGCTTCCCGCCTCCTGCGATTCGAATGCTGCTCAGCTGGGTGACCCGGCCTTAGTGACAATCTCCTGAATCTGTTTCCGCACCTGAGAGGTCTGTGCTTGAATCCGGGGTAGCCCCAACTCGACCCCTCCTAGAACCTTGCTCCCGGGTCATCAAAACCCTTTGACTTGCCGCCCACCACTAGGTGGGGTCTGGCCTTGAAGCTTTTACCGTCGTAGCCTTTCCTACTAACCGGATTTTTTTTTTTAATTATTTGTTTATTTATTTGTATTGTAAAAGAGCTGGGGTGTAGGCCAGAGGTGGGAGGGGTGGTGTGTGTATGAGAGGATTCACTAGCGACAGAGCAGGGAGCAGAATCGGCTGATCTACTGACATACACTGATGAAGGGAGCAGCGGGCGAGACTGGAGAGGTCTGCTGCGCTGCACCATGTGGGTTAGCTCCCTGGCCTGGGATGGAATCAGGTCATAGAGGTGATAGCGCTGGGACTTAACCCGCAGGCCACTAGAGAGGCCCCCACCAGACGTTCTTTTCCTAATTTCAAGTCCCCCTGTCAAACTCCTAATGCCCTTAGGCCTGGCCCTATACCTACTTCGGCACACCCAGCCCCGTGCGATCAGAGATAGATCCTTTGCAGGAGACGCTCAGGCACCCTGGGATTAAGGACTGCGGTATGACCCCTGGGCGATATGATGCCTCTCGGGACCTCATTTTGCTCAAGGAAGAAACCCACCTACAGTTTCTAAGGCGGGAGGGAGTTGCCTCCTTGGGATCTGCGGGGCGCTGGCACCCTCTGGTGGTATCTTAATGTACTGCTTCTCGAACCCACTCCCTACCCTGGCGGTTCCCATAATCTATCTGGTTCTGGCGAAGCACGAGGTCTCTGCACCCCCAGTGGGGGTGGGGTGGCAATTATAACCAAAAGCGGGCACTAGAAGCCCAAGATAGGGGTTTGAGCAGGACCGAAGGGAGGGTCAGAGGCTGATGACAAAGTGATCAGCATGGGTGACTGTGTGGAGGAGGGGCTTGGGGGCTGAAATACAGAACTAAAACCTCCCAATGTTAAGTGGAGCCTAGAGGAAGGATAGGAGATCATAAACTTGGGAGAAAGGATGGGGTAATCCTGGAGGGTTGGGAGGCTGGTACTCCCTCAGTCCATTCACATATGGGTCCCAGAGGCCCAGAAAGGGGAAGAACCTCCTTGGAAGTCACACAGCAGCCCCTTTAGTGTCTCAAAGGAAGCTGCCATTGGTTACTGTAGGGTAGGAGCAGCCCCAATTTCCTGTGAGTAGCAAGGGAAAGGAAGTGACTGAAGGCCCCTTCCTGCCCCACCCCACAGCCCTCTAAGCTTGGGTGTGCACAGCTGGTAATGGGAGAGTCCCTGCACCTGGGGGCTGTTGGGACAAAGCTGCAAGACAGTAGGCAAAGTGTTTACTCTATGCAGTCCTGAACAAGATGGGGGTTGCAGGTCAGGAGCAGGGTGTCAGTTACGTCTGCCTCTGTCCATTTTGCAGTCAGGTACAGTGAGGTCTGGCTTAGCCAGGAAGTGGCATCCAGAGCAGTCAAAGAGCAGAAGCCCTCTGCACCCACAGCATATGGTGGTGGGAATAGACTCCTCTCTCTGTGGTTCCTAGCCTGCTTCTGACTGGCCTTGTGGTAGAGGGTGCAGAACTGGGGTTCAGAGCCTCTTAAGAACATGTCCAGGGGCCTCCCTGGTGGTGCAATGGATTAAGAAGCAGCACTATGAAGCTGTCCACAGCCACTGCAGCATTAGTTCAATCCCTGGCCAGGGAGGTGCCCCACATGGTACAGCAGACCTCTCCTAACTCACCCACTGCTCCCCCCAGCAGTGTATTTCAGTAGATCTGCCTGTTCTGTTCTCCACTCTGTCTCTGGTGAATCCTCTCAGCTCCTGCACCTCTGGCCTGCACCCCAACGCTTGTATGCATAAATAAATAAATCTTAAAAAAAAAAAAAACAGAACATGCCCAAAAACAAGACTCCCAGCTTGGTATGATGCCATCCCAAGTCTCCTGCTTTTGAAGGCATTCCCACCTGCAAATACCATCAGGATCCCCACCCAGGGAAAAACTCCATATAAACAAGGGGTGAGGGGTACAACTGAGGGAGGGGCCATGGGTGGCACATGAGACTGTGGTCTTCTTTGAGAATCCAAGATCCCAGGATTGGGGCTAGTGAGAAATCCTGAGGAGACTCTCCTGGCTCCACTCAGGTCTCCCCCCAGAGTGCAGATAGGGAGTCCCTACTGCATAGCTTCTAAGTCAAAGGTGTCCCTGCTCTGGAAGGGGGCACTCAGACCAAAGGAAGCGTTCTCTGGAAAGAGTAGTTTGGCCAGGATTAGGTAGGTGGTGGGTGTCCTGGTAGGTGGGGCCAGACCCAGAGGAGGTGGTCTTCGCTTCTTGAGAAAGAAGTCACCTGTCCGCACAGACTACGTTGAAAGTCTCCGGGACTTGCAAAGGGGCGCCCAGACCTGGGAAATGAGTTCCCGGGAACGCTGACTGGGGAGCGGCTGGGTTGCGGCTGGGTTGCGGGTGGGGGCGGAGTGGGGGTAGCCGAGCAACTCACCCCAGAGCAGTAGCTGCCGCCGCCGCAGGTAGGTCTCGGCGGCCGCGTAGTCACTGGACACGGCGTTGACCCCCACGCTTCGACCCTCCAGCCAGTGCGTGGCCGCGCCGCCGCGCGCCGCCACCTCGAGCGCTCGAACCCGCAGCGGCGCCGCCACCTCCAGCAGCACGCGGCCGCACAGCCGCTCCCCGCCGCGGTACGCGCCGCCGGGGCCCCGCGCCAGCTCCAGCCCGAAGCTGCGCACGCGCCCCGGGCGCATGGCGCGGGCCGAGGCCCACGGCCCGGGTGGTGCCAACGGCGGGGTCGCGCACCCTCGGCGCCCCGGCGCTCGTCCCTGAGCCCGGGCAACCTCGGGGCTTCCTCCCGCCTCTGCTAACTCGCACCCGGCGTGAGCGGCCCCGGGAGGACTTCCTGGTTCTGCCCCGTGACGCGCGCGCCGGCGGCCAGAGACTCGCGGCCCGCGCTGATGACTTTGCCACCCACCAGCGCCGGGCGGGCCCTGTTTTTGCAGGGTCGGTGCTTGTCAGAGGCTGGCGGGGGCGGATGCGGCTGGCGCACAGTCTGTCCTGTGGGCGCTTTTGTCTCCCACTGGGCACCTCTGGCCCGGATGCCGCCCCAGCCTCTCCCGCTGGGACCCACACACACGGAGTTCAGGTCTTGCTCGGCACTGGCTGTTCCGTGACTAGGAACGCCCTTCCTCCCACTCACCCACCCAGCCACACCCAAATGTCACTCCTCAGAGTGCCCCCATCAGGCGCTGGCCTTTAGATGGTTATGGCTTTGGTTGCTGTCTTTGTGACCCATGTGTTAAGTGTCCCTCCTGAGTCTTACTGGGTGTCCCCAAGGGTGGGCACTGTGCCCTATCCTCCCCCACACCCGGGAGCTAGCACTCCTGCACAGAAGGTGCACCTGCAGATATCCCTGAACTAAACCATATTTTCCAAGCGGGAAGGACAGGCCCCAGCTTTCTCAGACCTCAGTATCCCCTGTAGGATGGCTGGGTAGGTGTAATTTAGGATGCAGTTATTCAAGTCCTGTCTGGGCTCCTGCAGCCCCTGTGTAAGCCCTCAAGTGGGAGAGAGCATTATTGGGCACCTATCAGGCATCTGACCCTTTTTAGGGTTTTACAGGTGAGGAAACTGAGGCCCCTGTGGGGCAGTTACTGCTCAGAGGCACGGAGGTATGGCAGTCAGGACTTGGACCCAGGTATCACTGCAACATCCTCCCAGACCCTCCTGGTTCTTGGGCCCAAGCTTTTTCCCTGAGTCAGGTGGCCATGGCTTTATCAGAGGCTGCCAGGGCCTGGGCTCAGTCAGAGACTCATATCTGACACCCCAGGAGCCAGACCTCCCCTCTGATACCAGGGCTCAGCATCCACCAAGTGTTTGCTGTTCTCATTGACCCCTGCACCTTCAACCCCAGGCCTGGAAGGACCTTTCTGATTCTACTGTGTCTGAGGCCTTCCTTCTACCCTAGCTTTGAGGATCTAACCACAGGATGACACCATCTCTCTGACTCATGCCTGTCCCCATTGAGAGGTCTCCACCAAGGCCGGCTCCTTCTTTTTGGCTTCAGTTTGAATCCTAGCTCCCAATCCTTACTCTGAGGCTGCACGCAGGTGGCTTCACTTCTTTGTACCTTAGTTTCCTCATCCCAGGTCGAGTTCTGGGAAAAGTTAGGTAATTTATATTACATTCCCTGTATAGAGCAGGAGCTCAATACATGTACAACAGAGACTGAATGACCCTCCTCACCCATGTCACGTCCCCCACTGGCCAGTGACCTGTGGCCTGGCTGCAGTCTGGCACAAAGTGGGTGCTAATGGAAACTGGATGGCAGAAGGGGAAAGAGGTTCTGATGATCTGCTGCTTCCTGTGTGCCAGGGCCATGCCCTCTGTGGTGTCCCTCTATCAGTGCCAGGTGGTGCTAGCACAGGTGTCCTCTGGGAGGTATCCCCACTGAGCTCAGGCTGGGGGACCACCAGGCTAGGATGGGGTTGGGTTCCCCTTGACCCACATCCGTTCTGAGGCCCTGGGCCTAGAGTCGCTTCCCAAGTGACTACATGCACCATGTACCACACAGCAACTGGTGGGTCCTGCTTTATTCAGAACTGGCAAGGACCCCTCCCCCGGCTGCTCTGTGCCCACCGGGGGCCTGGGGAGAGACATGGGGCCGGGGGACCAGAGGCAGCTCCGGGCTCCCCTGGCTCCACCCAAGGAGGAAACAAGTGGCAACCCGCCCCTGCCCTCTGCATGGACAGTCTGGGTGGGGCAGGCCCCAGCACAATCAGCCCAACTCAGCTTTGGCTTCTTGAACCCCAAGAAGCGCCACTGTACAGGGCTTCCTGGGTGGCGTGGAGGTGGCGGCCACACGATGGCCAAGATTGAGGAGTCTGGTGGCGGGCAGGGCCGTCACCCGCAGTTCGAAGGGGCCACGGGCAGCCACCGGCATGGGGGGCTCCGGGCTGCCTGGTCTGGGGGCCCAAGCACAGGCCGGGGAGGCAGGGGTGGTGGGGGTGGGCGTATGGCTTGGGCAATGAGGCTGGGCAGGGCCTGCAGAGAGGCACCCAGTGCATCCAGTCGGCTTTCCAGGGCAGCCAGGCGAGCCTCAAGTTCCTCGTGCTGGGCGTGCAGCTCGGACATGAGGTCGTACATGACATTCTGGGTCTGCCAGAGACAGAGAGGAAGGAAAGGACACACAGAGAGAGGACAGTTGACTCTGGCCCTAAAGGTCTCTCGCTGGGCCCCGGAAATGAGAGGGGAATCGATGAGGGGAGAGACAGGGAGACCAACAGGTCTAGGGAAGGCTGAAGGAGGTGCAGGGATGGGGGGATGTGGCCAGAACTCTCCAGAACTCTCCTGGGGGGTTAAAATGAAACCATTGTGTGGTGCTTTCACCATTATTCCAGGAGAGACATGGTACAGGGCGGGAGGAGGGAGGAACCAGGAATCAGTTCAATGTGACCTCCCCCTCTCCCTCCACATTAGGTTAGAGAGAGGACAGGCATCTTTAGGGAGAGGTGGCCTCCCCAAGGATGTGACCCAATCACAGAACGAACATGATACTACAGCAATGAGTGTTTTGGCAGATGTCAGGCTGTCCCTAGCACCTAGCAAGCAGAGGTGTGTTCTGCCGCTGTCACTGTTCAGATGGAGACAGCCCTGAGTGTAAGCATTACTCTCGCCACCAGGTGACGCCATAACACAGTTCAGCGCGGTTTAGAGCCCTCAGGCTGAAGGTCCCTCTGGGGACTGTGATGGGGGATTGAAAAGGCATTGGAGAGCTGAGGTGGGGAAAGACACCCCAACCTCTCACTCGTGAGTAGGGAGACTGGATGGTGCACCTACCCCAGCTCTTCGCTGAGCTCCACCCCAGCCTCTCCCTTCTAGCCTCTGCCTTTGCTTCAGCGTGCCCCCAGCCTTTCTGTCACTGGCAAACTCTGCACCCGGAGGTAACCCACATTACTTGCCTACAAGGCCACAGTCCCCAGGGCCGGGGAGTAACATCTGGCAGCTTCTTTTTGACTATCTTTGAAGTTCAAATTTGTCCTTTTAACTTCACATATACATTTGGGGGAGGAGGGGTCAGAGAGACTAAATCAATGATCTTGGAAAACGTTTTAACCTTGTTAAATTTTTAAAAAATTAGAAACCTATATAATCCAATGCAGTAAAAGACTTCAAGGAAGCCTTCGTTAAATGTATTTTTAAAGTAATAGACCACTATGGCCTCAAGGTTTAAACAACTAAAAAATTCAAATTCAATCATCTATACTAAAGGGAGGGAGTGTGGTATGGACTGTCCAGTGATCACATCTAGTATCTGAGTTTTTCGGGATATTTTATATGTATTTATAGTGATAATTTCATATCAATTGGCTAGCAATTTCTACATGCTTTTAGGATTGTGCTCTTTTTACTTCCAATTGAATTATTTCTCAGGGATCTAGAAAATGCTCTTTCCCGCCCTTCCAAATAAAATTTATTTAGGCAAATATTAAATTACATTGCATTCTCTTAATAATGATGAGGACAGAGTCCAAAATGCCGTGGATATAAGAAGTAAAATAGAGGAGTTAACATTTTCTAAATATGATGTCACATTAGCCTCGGACTGATCTTTAGGGATGGAGCCAAAAAAGCAAATTTCACATATAATCTATTTCTGAGAGGTACAATATCGGTGAGAAGGGCATTCATAACCATGTGGCAAACATTCTGAGTTTGTCTAGAGTTGAGTCCATTGACAAATTTTCTGACAGATGAATAAAACATCAGGAAATGGGGGCTAGGACTTGATATTGGGACCAACAAACAGACCCATTTATAACAGATCTTATAGAGTTCTTGTAATCAACTTTAATTTCCTGAAAGGTGTTTAATTGCTCTGTAGATAGCTTTCTGCCGATACTGTAATATGGATTTATATCCTCAGCAAAAAAATTTGTTTTTCCTTATAATTTTGAGAGTTTATATGTAGTGATGTACCTAAATACAAAAGTGACACTTTACAAATTTATCCCATGAAGTATATGTTGATTTAAAGCAATTATATTAGGTACTGATCTTTAAGGTAGAAAGTGAAACAGTCAAGATTTTACACACATGTAGATTTCCAGCATCTCTTATAATCAGAGCCTCTGGCTGCAGGGGGTGACCCTTGCAGACAGGGCTGGTGTCCCCTGGTGGCTTGTCCCTCCCTGCCCTATATCCCTGGCCTTTGTCACCTGCCTGCCTAGTGGGTGCCAGTGCTGTCCCCCTCCTGGCAGAAGCTGGCCCTATCCTATCCCCATCTTCCTCTGGGGGCCTAGTTAACCCCAGCTGGCACAGTGAGCCCCCTGGCCCCACCCTGCCACGCTCACCTTAGCCAGGTCGGCGAGTGTGTTGGCCTGGTCATTCAGCTTCCCCTGCTCAATCTTCACACTCCGGAGCCTGGGGACAGGCGGGCATGGGCAGGTGGGGTTGGGGAGAGGCTGCAGCAGGGGAGGGGTCCTTCATGCACCCACCCTACCAGAGGTTGCTCATGGGACATTCAGTAGGGGTTGAGGTAGGAATTGGCAGGCCCCTGCAGTCCATTCCCTCCATGCATGCGGGGAGCAGCAGGGACTGGGGGTTGGTTCAACCATACCCACAGTGTGCCCCAACTGGCCCTGTTCACCAGGATGTCCTGGGTGAAGCTGGTGCCAGCCTTCCAGGCAAACACAGCCCTGGTTGCCTACCAAAGCGGGGATGGTATACACCCTGCCCCACAATCACCATGCACCCCTAAGCCCTGAGAAGAGACTTACTTCTGAGCTCTGGCAGGATCGGTGGAGCAGAGAGAAATCACAAGGCAATTTTAATTTCAGCACAGCTGGCGGCATGTACCCAAACCTTCCCACCTTTTGCGTGCGTGACCCCAGGGCCAGGCTGGGGTCCTGGAAAGCCCAGGGTCCAGGGGCTACCACTCTTGCTCTGGGGAGGAACCCAGTCTCTGCGGGGGCATCTCTCCTCTGGCCCCTCCTTTTAGCCCCATCAGGGCACAGGTAGCTGCCCTTGGCTTTCAGGCCCTACTGTGTACCAGCTTGTCCTGAAACCTGGTCCCAGAGGTGGCATTTAATCCAGAAAACTCTGCCCATGCCATTTCTGGTACCCACTGGTACCACATGATTCAAACCCATACCTGCCTCCTGGAAAGATGCCATGGGGGTACAGGGTGGGAGTCTTGGCCAGTGTGTGACCTCCTATGTCCTGGCCATCTCTTCTGTAGCTAAACCAGTCTAGGGAATCATTTCTGGAAGGAATTGTCCAAACTCAACCCCTACATGCAACAGATGCAAGGGCAGGCTCCCTGAGGGGCCAGCCATGCTGGAGGTCAGGAGAAACAAATGTGGTATAGATAGTGCCAGAGGTCAGGGGTGCCAGCGCTCTGCAGAGGAAATGAAGGCCCACTGGGGAGCCCTGAGAAGCCTTTCCTGTGGAAGTCAACCTCCCCATAATAGGTTGAACAGATCCCCCAAGGCAATATGAACAGCTTCTTTATAAAAGGAAGAAGTTGGACTCAGACATGCTCAGAGGGAAGATGATGTGAGGACACAGAGAAATAGCCCTGTGAAGATGGAAAATTGGAGGCATGGTGCAAAAAGCCAAGGAACACCCAAGGCTACAGAAACTTGGAAAAAAGTCTGAACCAACACTCCCTGCCTTCAGAGGGAGAAAGATCCTAGAGACACCTTGATTTTGGACTTCTGGCCTCCAGAACTGTGAGACAATAAATTTGGCTAGCTACCACCCGGTGCGTGGTAGTTTGCTGTGGCAGACCCAGGGACTATATACATGCCCCTAATCCATGCAATGCCAGGCATTTCTACACATCATCCCATTTTGAACCCCCACAGTCCTGTGAAATAGAAACTGATGGCATGAGAAGTTAATCCAATGATAAGAATAAACACAATAAATGTAAATGGATTAAACTCACTCAAGGAAACTTCTGGGGTGATAAATCTGTTCATTATCTTGACTGGTGTGTGAATATGGGTGTGTGTATATGGGTGTTTCATGGGTGTGTGTATATGTTAAAACTGATCAAACTGTACTCTTTCAGTAGGTGTGGTTGTATATTGACATAAATAAAACTTTTTTTTAAAAAAAGGCAGAATGATTAAACAGGATTAAAAATTTAAAACCTAACTGGCAGACTCTCCCTGGTCTCCCCATGGTCAGACTCTTTCATCCTCTGGCACCCCATGAGTTGGGCTGCCCCAGCTAAACCCTGGGATCTCCTATCTGCCAGTCATCCCAATCTACCACTCACACAAGAAAGGATTCTTCTTGCTGTTTCCCATGGCTGGCTTGGTTGCTTCCGACTGTACTGGTTCACTTCCTAACACTGTTCACATCACACTCTGACTCATCAGACACTGATTCTGTCCTATAAGTTCTTGGAGCAGGGATCTATCTGCCAGTTGTGAATAGGGGTTCCCATGATGTGAAAGGTGGGAACCCATGGACATTTTGAAATATTCCTAAAAACATCTTAATATTTTAAATCAGTTACCATGTGTCTCAAATGTAGTCTATATTTGAGTACCCCACTCCACAAGTTTGGAGCTGTTTAATTCTATACTGGATGCTGTCCCATACATCCTCTATGGCCAAGGAATGTAGCTGGTTCAAATGAAAACAGGTTGTAAATGTATTGGACTTTGAAGAGTTAGTACAAGAAACTTTCTAAAATATGTCAGTAATTTTCTACATTAATCACGTTAAAATGCTAATATTTTAGAGGTAATTGGGTTAAATAAAGGTAAAAATTCATTTCACTTCTTTTTACTTTTTTTCAATGTGGCTACTAGAAAATTTAAAATTACATGGGTGGCTCACATGACATTTCTGGTGAACAGTTACTGGCATTTTCTGGGCATTAGCCCAAAGCTGGGAAGTTGCCTATTTTGGAAAATAAAGTTTTATGGGTATACAGCCAAACTGAATCGTCTTTGTTGCCTTCCTGCTACAAGAGCAGAATTGAGTAGTAATGACAAACACTGCCTGGTCCATAAAGTCTGAAAATTATCTATTTGGCTCTTTTACTGAAAAAGTTCACCAACTCTTGCTGCACATTGGACTTACTTGAAAAACTTAAACTTATACCTAGGCTGCACCTCAGACTCTGTAACTGGTATTTGGTGTGGTCTGTGGGATTTTTCTTAAAATCCACTAGTGACTCCAAGGAGCAGTCAAGAATGACTTGACTAAATAAATGATTAAATAATTCTCAGGACAAAGAGTCAACAGAAGAAATTAAGTAATTTCTTAATTTGATCACATGGATCTGGTCACACATTAAATTCTGAGCATCCTGGCAGTCAAACCAAAAAGGTAAATGGCTTCAAAATTCAAGGAATAAAATCACTTTGATTATTCCAGGGAATAAAATATGCATTCTGCCACCTGTGCTGGGTAGTTTGTATGACTTATCACAGGCTACTGTTCTGGATGCGTGTTGGCATATCACCTGCATCCAGACTATCCCACCCAGGACTGAAACTGAAGATCCTGACCAACTGACCACCCAGCATGGGATGGACATTGACAAGGCCATAGTGAACTGCCTGGCCTGGCCCTAGGCTTCCTCCCAGGACCACAGCTGCCTCCGCGCCAGGTGGACACAGAAACGTGAGCGGGAAAGGTACTGGACTTACTGATGGATGGCTTGGAGGAACTTACGCTGGTGTTTCCGAACCCGGGCTTGGTCTGGCTTTTTCACCAGCCTGGTATGTTTGTAGATGAGCCACGTCTCCCTGAGAACATTAGCAGCGGCGTTTTTTACCTGGGGCCAGAGAAAGAACAGCTCTTCATTGTGGGCACAAACCATGGAAGGCTTCAGAAAATTCTGGAAATGCCTCTCTGGTATCCTGGGATTGTAAGCCAGGGCCATGTTTGCCCATCCACATTTGTGACGTGTGTGTGCACCTACCACACCTCACTGGCGAGGCCCTTTATGCACACCTTGCAAATGTGAACTCAGCGAATCTATACATGCTGGTATCATCCTCATAAGGTAATACCATGGGGAAACTAAGTTACAGAGAGGTCGCCCTGCCAAGTCAGATAGCTTGTCAGTTGCCTCTGGTGGCCTGGTCTCTTACTACACAGCTGGGCCATAATGGAGCACAGAGGTAGACCTTGTGGTCATTGCCATATCCCTATGTGCAGGCTCAGGTACTCACATGGTGGCACTACCTAGCACTGTCCTAGCATGGATGGGGCAGTGTAGTGACCTCCGTGCACCTGGGCATGCCTGGCATGTGCAGAGGGAAGGTGGGGAGGGCCTATGCTCAATGAACACAGAGGGGAGATGGCCTTGATGGGGGATGGCATCCCTACCCGCTTGGTGAGCTGAGTGTCCATCATGAAGTTGTGCACATGCTTCTCGGCCTTAGTGAGCTCCAGCTTCCGGGCCACCACAGCTACCACAAGCGCCGTGCAGCCAGCCCCCTGGGTGAGCAGAGACACATTAGCATCTTCCACATTTGGGTCCCAGGTCACAAGCGGGATATTTTCCCTTCTCCAGGAAGCCTTCCCTGATGGTACCCTTGCCTTTGCCCCCTAAACCCAAAGCTCCAGCAGATCCACCTGCTGAGTTTATTGACTCCCAACCTCACCTGCATAACATCATTGAACATCCAGGGAGTGTGTCCCACAAATGAGCTCAAACAACCCTGGCAGGTAAGACTACTAGTATCCCCATTAGGCAGAAAGATAAGCTGAGACTGGGAGATAAGAAAAGCACAGGAAAATGGCAGGCTCTGCAGGCATATTCAGGGTTGACAACCATAGAAGTGGGGGTTCAGAAACGCCCATAAAGGTCTTGGGGCCTGGGTGTTGGGGATGGAGACCTGGCTGACATGTTGCCGAGCAGTAATGGGGGCACCAGGTGACAGGATCAGAAGGTAGCATAAGGGAAGTGGAGGTGGTTGCCTGTGTGTGGGAGGATCTGCTGGAGGAAAGAGGTACCAAGAGGTGGGAAATGGAGGGGAGGGATGCCTCGCCTGATAGGCTCCTGCTGTCAACAACCACCCTCCCCAGGACAGCCTGTATTGCGGCCAGTCCCTTTGCTAGTAAAGGAGATCGGAGAGGACTCCATTATTTACTCAGAGACAGCCTGGAAACAGAGAGATTCAAGTAAGGGCTCAAGGAGGGGCGTAGGTCTAAGTGATGGGTATGGGAGGCAGCAAAAAGTGACAGGGAGGAAGGGGTGAATGAGAGCCTGCCACTGAGAATTGGAGGCCAGGGAGCCTAGGACACCCAAGAGGTGTCATCATCCTCAGTGGCTGGAATGCAAGTGGCAGGGGCAGGTGAAGGAGGCTGGGAGGTGATGCCTTGCCCAGGTTGGAGGTTCTCCCTGACACCTCACTGGCTAGCTACTTCCTGTGGCCAGTGTGTGCATGATGGAAGGAGGGAGACATTAATGGCAGGTGAAGACAGGTTGGGGGTATTCTCAGATGTTCCTGGATAGGTGTGGACACAAACATGCCAAGCCTAGGCAGAATGGGCAAAAAGTCCCCTCTCTCCCCAAGAAACTGGGATAAGGGTCTTGGGAGGACCAAGGAACCTGTTCTCAGGAAAATCCTTGTCAACAAAGTAAAGAAACAGGTTAGATACTTTCACGTGGAATACTGCAGCAAGGAAAAGAATAGCCAAAGCCTCCACACTTGACCATGTCCAGCGAATGATGCCAGGTTTGGAAGAGGCCACTCTGGGAGCCCTGAAGTTCAAGAAGGGGCAGTTGTACAGCTGGCAAGACAATGGGGAGAAAAGAGAGTCCAAGGGCAATGACTGGGAGGGGATACACATGGACAAGGTTGGAAGAGAGCTTAAGAAATGTGAGAAAACAGGGCCTCCCCAGTGGCGCAGAGGTTGAGCACTGGGTTGCGAAGCTGCCCACAGCCTCTGCAGTGCCAGTTCGATTCCCGGCTGCTCCCCGGCCACCGGAGGAGGGTCCCACGTGGCGCGCAGACCTCTCCTGCCGCCCGCTGCTCCCCTCAGCAGTGTACTTCAGTCCTTCTGCCTGCTCTGCTCCCTGCTCTGGCTCTGGTGAATTCTCTCACCCTCCCGCGCTTCTGACTGTACCCAGTGCTTGTATGGATAAATAAAATAAATAAATAAATCTTAAAAAAAAAAAATCCATGTTCTCAAAAAAAAAAAAAAAGTGAGAAAATAGAAGCAGCTAAAAAGACCAAGATGCGGCTTATGGTATCTGGCTTTGTGATAACAGCAAAAGGCAAGAAAGAGACCTACGCATGACCACTAGTGTGTGTCCAGGGGCCAGGGCAGGGAACCATTTGCAGGACTAATTTTCTAGAAGAAACTTCTTGCCAGAAAAGGGAACATACCTTTTCTGCTGCATCACTGACTTTCTGGGTTTGACCTGGCCTACTTTGCGTGCTTTTCTTTGTTCATTTGTAAGCTCATTTGCCTCAGGATGGGCTCAGGATGTGGCCTGTGTGTCCACTTGGCTGGGAGATGGGAGGTTCAGGTTGGGGTTGGAGGAAGACATGGAACTCCAGGCCTGTATTCATGGGAGGGGATGAGAGGTAAAGAGGGGTCATGCCCACAGGCCATCCCAATGCCATAGGCATTGGGAAACAGCAACAACCAGGGGCTTACATACAATGATGGGGGCTGTGATGAGCCCCGAAAGATGGTTTGTCCACCACAGGAGGAAAGGAGTTGGAGGTAGTATGGCATCTGCAGGAACAAACATCTTTATGCCAAGATGGTGGACCCTGGGGGTGGGATTAGGCTGGCTTCTTTGGGGGCTAGGGTTTCTCACCCATGTAAGTGTTATGAACTGGGGGGTTACTGAAAGGAGTACCCCACCATGCACTGAAGAATCTGTGGAAGAGAGGAAATAAGCTCAGAAAGAAAGATGATTCCACACAGGGACCAACCATGAGAAAGGAGTGAGGGAAAAGAGGTTCCAGATACCTCAGACTGCCCACATCTGTAGGCAGACTGGAGAAGACTGGGAAGGATGGGGTGCTGCCTGGGCTCCCAGAGTCACACTTTACAACATAGGGACTTAGTGGGTGTGCTTAGGACACCCTAAAGAGTTAGTAGAGGACAGGGAGTTGGCTGTGGTGGCACACCTCACAGGATATTGATTGGGTGTCTGAGGCCATCACAGTTCTAGGCTTTTCACATAAACGAACATTTAATCTTTGTAACAAGCTGAGGAAGCAGCACTGGTTACAGTGGGGGAAACTGAGGCCAGAAGCATCAACACCCTCAGCCTCAATCCAAGAACTGAGAATAAAGTAGGCTTTGGGGGGCCTTCCCTGGTGGCGCAGCACTTGAGAGCTGGGCTGCGAGGCTGCCTGCAGCCTCTGTAGCGCCGGTTTGTTCCCTGGCCGTCGGTGAGGGTCCCACCAAAAAAAAAAAAAAGTGGGCTTTGGAGAACACTGTGGCAACGATGACACTCCACTTAGGGTAGACCATGCCTCTGGCCAGGCGGGCACAGCCGTGGCTGCACATCTAGGGGTGGAAGAACCCAAGAGGCAACTGGAGATCTGGGCTCCACAGGCCATCAGAGGGAAGGAGCGGGCAGTGGAGGGGAGGGCTGAGGCATTACAGCTCAAAATTGAGGTGAGCCCCTCAATAGTGGGAGTACACAAGGCCCCCTTACCATGATGCCGGTGAGCAGGCACACGCCCTTCCCACAGTATGTGTGTGGTACCATGTCACCGTAGCCAATGGACAGGAAGGTGATGGAGATTAGCCACATGGCCCCCAGAAAGTTGCTGGTCACTTCCTGCTTGTCGTGGTACCTGGGGGGAGTTGGACCTGGTTAGTCCACACTGGTCCCTCCAACTTTACCCCCCCACACACACACCCCTATCAACACTGGAACTGCAGGGCCCAGGTCTACTTGGCTGCTGGTTGTCTTGACTGCAGGGAGCCCTCCTGTGGTCCTCCTGGGGGCAGGGGCACCCATACCCTCCTCCCTGGCATCCCATCCAGACTTCCCTCCTCTCCCAAACCCCAGGCTGATGCCTGTTGTCTGCCCACCCCGGCCCTGCCCTGATTAGGGGGCGGAGAAGGCCCCCAGGGAGTAGGCATCCACATGAGTCCACGTGACTACCCTCCCAAAACAGACAGACAGACAGACTTGGGCAATGATAGCCACGGGTGCCAGAAGCGGCAGGGAGTGGAGGCAAGGATTCAGGTCAGACACCAGCAAGAACTTCCCTAGTCAGCAAGGCCCTGAGGTGGGGGGACTATTGGAGAGATGGGAAATTACTGGGAGGATTGAGCCCCAGGATTTGGGAGAAGGAACTTGATATGTGGAGGGACACTAGTCACACCAACTCTAGGCCTTGGGTTCCCCTGGGGTGAGAGGGGAGACTCCTTTGGACAGCGGACATGATCTTGTGCAGACCACAGTCCAGCTTGGGACGCTGACCACACCTGCTGCTAACCAATTCTACAATAGTTAGGCCAGGTTAGGGGACTGGAGGGACTGAGGGGTCAGTGCTCTGGGCCTGGAGGTGGCTAAGATTGGAGGCGAAAGGGGGAGGGAAGGAGAGCTGGGAGAAAAGTGCTGTTTCAGGATGATGGGGCTGGGGTTAGAGGCTCAAAATGGGGAATGGTTGAAAACCCCAAAGCGGGGTGGGTGGGATGTTACTGCAAGCCCTTTCAGTTGGCTTCCAGGCTGCTCACTGTGTGAGGGGGATCAGGGACTGAACCTCATTTTTCATGGAGACATCTGAGCCCCAAGTCACCCCAGCGTCCACCTACTAGGAGACCGGATCGCCACACTTGGGAGGCCGGAGAAGTGGGGAACCTCCAGCAGTGGGTCGGGGAGCCCCAGGCCCACCTAAAGTCTTTGTGGATGCTGAGGTCCACCCAGGACCAGGGAGTGGGGGCATGCAGGAGGTGGGGGTGGGGGACAAGAGTTGCAGGGGCGGAGCGAGGCAGGCAGAGGGGTTTCAAGCAGCTTCACCGGGCTCAGGATTTAGGATTGGCTGCCCCTGCCCCAATGCAGGACCCCAGGATGACCTGGCTGGACTAGCCCTGGCATCCTTCCCAGACCCCAATCCTGACTTGGCGCTGAAGGGGTAAGGGACAGGCTGTGGATACATCAGGGCACACAGGACACTCCCTGTAACCCCCAGATGATAAACTTTGATGACAGACTGGGGTGGGGGCACAAGGGGCTTGAGCAGTGAAAAATAGGGTCAAGGGGAAGGATCCAGTCTAGGGACCCCACCTCCTGGAAGCCCAGCCCCAGCAACCCCTACCACATACTGTTCCAGGGCCTTCTCAGAAGTAGAAGCCCCCCAGACAAGTTACCTCCTCTCTCTACAGAGGCAACGGGACCCCCTCCTGCTCCTGGAGCCCCCTGGGGGGCTCTGGAGACATTCAAGCCCTCAGGAAAGTCCCTTTCCTCTCAGAGCTTCAGTTTCCTCATCTATAAATTGGGCTGGCAGCCTGTCCCTTTCCAGGGCTGTTCAGAGCAAACCCCAAATTGGGGGCCTAAAGACTGGGCCAATTTCCATTCACTTGACCCTCTTGAGTTTCAGGAGGAGATATCTAACACCCCTGCACCCGGACAGCTGCCAGAACAGGTCACCAAAGCTAAGCGCTTTTTCATCCCCCCACTTTGGAGACAGGGACCCTGAGGATGCCCAGTGAGCAAGACCTCTCCCAGAGCTGCCTGCCTCCTGCTATCCTGGTCTGACTCCAAATCCAGTGGTCACACTGGAATGGGTTCTCCCTATAACAACCCTGCCCCGACCACCTCCCCTCCCCACTTTCCCACCCCTTGTGGCAGCTAATCTTAAATTCCTGGCGGGCAGTACAGTGGCAGCAGCTCTGTACACATAGCTAGGCAGAGGGTGGGACTCACATGTTTTCCCTATGGTCCGGTGGGGCGGGCAGAGGGGAGAAGGAGAGCAGGTTAAACATGGGGTGGGGACAGGCCGATGGGGTGGTGCCCCTGTTCCCACTGCCTTTGTGGCCCTAGCTGACATCAGAGGTTGGTTACCCAAAGAAGAGTGGAGGGACCAGGAGGAGCATGAGACCTGCCAGGAAGGGGGGTAGTGGGCTGGGGTCCCAGAGGGATGTGAGTTGAAGTGGGGCTGAGGGTGCTGGGGACACAGGGCTGGAGTACCAGGGACAAAGGGGCATGGGAGTCACTGGGGTCAAAGGTGAGAAGTAACAGCTGGGACGCCACTGGTCACTGAGGTCACCAGTGGCATGGAGGTCCACGGGACCGGGGATCAGAGGGTGGGAAGGCATGACCAGGGGAGCCCTGGGTCACTTAAGTCATGGGTGACATGGGGGTTCCCGAGGTCACAGGCTCTGGGTCGCACCTCTCGCAGACACGCACAGTCCAGGCGGCAATGATCCAGGAGGAGATGCTGAAGACCAGCAGCACGGTGCCTGGGCAGATGGTCATGAGCGTCTTCATGACGAAGCGAGTGTTGAAGGTGATCTTGTTGAGGGCGCCGATGCTGCGGCTGGAGGCATCTGTGAAGATCTTGCTGTGTAGAAGCATGACGCGGCCCAGCAGGTAGAGACGCAGGAACATGGGCACGGACAGTAGCACGTCCACATCGGCCTCGGCCGCCGACGGCGTGTATGTGAAGGCCAGTCGTGCTGTCCATGTGAAGCGGTAGTGTCCGGGCACCGGGTGGATGGCACACACGGCCAGCTCCAGGGAAATAAGGAAGACGCGCTCGCAAGTCATGGCGATGCGCCAGTCATCTGCCCCATTGTCCACCATGAACAGCTGCAGGGATGTGGAGAGGGTGGGGCGGCCGTGGGTCTCAGACACTCAGATACACATGCTGGGCCTAAGTGAGACCCCAGCCTGAAATCCCAGACTTGCCTTTTTTGAGCAACATGGCCTCATATGTGAAATCTCTAGTTCTTGGGGTTGGCGACAATTCAAATTAAATACAGGATGGTGTCCCTCCCAAGGAAGCATTGTTACCAATGCTTCCGCAGCCCTACTGGGGTGCACAGTTATGAATCCCTTAACAGGTCCAGTCAATGACAGGCCATATCTAGAGGCCTTTGGACAAATCCTCCTGCATGCATGTTTGCAGTCGCTCTAGTGAGAACTACCAAATGTGGATACAACCCAAGTGTCCATCAGTGGACAAATGGATGAACACAACGCAAACCATCCACACAGTGGAATATCACTCAGCCATAAAAAAGGAGTGAAGCCCTGACACACAACACGATGTGGATGAGCCTGAAAACATTACGCTGAGTGAGACAAGCCAGACACAAGGCCACCCCAGGGTCAAAGGGGCAAAACTGTTCACCGGGGGCCTGGAAGGTAGAGCTCTGAGCCAAGCAGAGTTAGGATGCGGATGTGTTCTAAGAATGCATAACGTATCCTTAGGTGATTTCATCGTTAGGTGTCACAGGTTAAATTACACAAACCTTGATGGCACAGCCTACGACACACCTAGCAACACTTCCTTTATTTGGAAGGAATTAAGAGTCAATGAGCTCATGAGGGTGGGGCCCTGCTCCTACAGATCTGGTGTCCTTACATGAAAAGGAAGAGACCCGAGGGCTGTGCGCACAGGCCATGTAAAGACACAGTGAAAAGGCGGCCATCTGCAAGCCAAGGAGAGAGGCCTTGGGAGAAAGCAACCCTGTCAGGCACCTGATCTTGGACTTTTAGCCTCCAGAACTGGGAGAAAAGAAATGTTTGTGTTTTGTGTTTTGTTTCATTTTGTTTTTTATGGCTAAGTGATAGATACCTGCTGTAGGAACAGACCACATTTTGTTTATCCATTCACCTGCTGACAGACATTTGGGTTGTTCCCACATTTTGTTGATTGTTAATAATGCTGCCATGGACCTGAGTGTGTAAGTTTTGTATGAATCTATATTAGAAGTGGAACTGCAGAGTCAGGTGGTAACTCCGAGTTTAACAGTTTAAGGAACCATCAGATCATTGTCCCCAGGGGACCTTTAGAACCACTTCCTTCCAGCTGTTACTGACCCCATCTGGTCTTCCTGCCCAATAGAGGATCCCTCCTGAGTGCCAGACCTAAGGTGTGCCCATGCACATCGGCATATGGCACAACCCAGGTAGAATTTGCCTAAGCCCCACCAGGGTCAAGGTCAGGGGTCAGAATCCAAAGGTCACGAGTGAGATCTGCCAACCTTTGGCATCCTGAAGCTCTGCACCAGCTCCAGATGACGTCTGCCCACCGTGGGCACACCTGCCCAAAGCAGCTGGACCTGAAGCTGATGAACCCCTGAAGTGGCACGTATCAATTTTTCAGATGCAGGATCCCAGCAGACAGGAGAACAGGTGCTGGAACACCAGTTTCCTAGGGCTGCAAAAATGATCTACAGGCTGGAACATCAGCTCACCTTCTGTTTTCTTTTTAAAATAATCAATGAAAATGGAAGCATAGACAGGAATTGCAATTTAGAGGGATCTAAGTTCTACCCCTTTAGAGAGGTGTTTTATCCCCCAGGAGGAGGTTATTGGTCCTTTCATGCGTTCAGGGGCTGGGGTGCCAGGTGGCTTTATGGGGGACAGGGGTGCAGTTGGCTGGCCACTGACCTGGATCTCCCGGGCATGGTAAAGGATGACCAGTCCCAACAGGATGGCTGTGGAGAGACTGATGAGGCATTTGAGTGCAAATGAGTACAGGGACTCCTGGAGAGAGAAAGCAAACAGACAGATGCTGGGGTGGAAGGGGCTTCATGATCCCCAACCTGGTGCTTTGTTCAGTAGGTGATACTCCTTGTCCTTGTTCCTGGGGCCTGGGTGATAACCCTCTGTTTATAAGGCCTGGTCTCATGTGGGCACAGCACTTCACAATTCATAGGCTGGTATAGCCCTGATCACTCTCTGTCCTCATATATACTTGTGTGGTTTGATGGGATCCATAACCCAATCTTTCCCTGAGGTTACCAAGTCCTGGCCTGTTCCTCAGGCCGCTTCCTCCCCACCTTCAGCCAGGGTACCTGGCAGAGGTAACAGCCTAGAGGCCCTGCCCCCACCCATACCTCTCCATCACCCTCAGGAGATGAGCACTGTGGGTGCCAAGACGGCCTTATCTCTCCACCTCCAAGGCCCCCCCAAACCCTACCCTTCCTCTTGGGGCCATTTGGGCTCTGAGCCCATTCCTGAGGGACAGCAGGGACCTATAGATCAGCCCAGAGGGGCTCTCGGGTGCCCACCTTGGTGTAGACGCCCCAGGACAGCTCCGTCTCGGTCACCATGACAACAATGCCGAACATGCCAAAGATGAGGGCGTAGTCACTGAGCCTCTTCCGCTTCTCGAAGAGCACCCGCCGGTGGCCCAGGCGGTGGCCCACGTTTGAAGACTTTCCTGAGCCCCTCTGCCCACCTGCCTCCTCATCCTCATCCTCTTCTTCCTCATCGTCATCCTCCTCCTCCTGGTCCTGCGGCTGCCCTGGGGGGCTGCTGGCTGCCAGTTGGGCCGGTTCACTCTTGGCTACCACGACCTGGAGGCCAGGGCCATGTGGCGGCTGCGGGGGCCGGCCGGCCTCAGGGTCCAATGGGTCACGGCCCAGGGTACCCGGCCCACTACCCAGTGGCCGTCCCCCGCAGCCATTGTGGCTGTGGCTGTGGCTGTGGCTGTTCATGATTATGTGGGTGCCGGGGTTGGGCTTGCTGCAGGCCACCTGGGGCCCGGCATGGCTCAGTGGCTGGGCTCCCTTGCTGACCTGCAGGGCACAGAGGGGCACAGTTACAGCAGGGCCTCCCTGACTGACCAGAGAGAGAGGCACCATTGCCACCGCCCAAAACATCCTGATGCTTGGGAGGCCATGAACACAGAGTGGCTGACACATGAGTTTGCTGTTCCAGAAACATCCAAGTCAGCCTCTGTCCCTCCCCTGCTCAAAAGCCTCCCATGGCTCCCCAGTGCCTTTGCACGAATGTCAAATGCCTCACCGCAGTCAGAAGGCCCTCAGTCCAGTTCCCAGCCCACTCTCCCTTTCAGTCACAATGGCCTCCCATGACTAGATCCCAGCGTGCTTAGTCCTGCCCCAGGGTCTTTGCATGCACTGTGCCCTCTGCCTGGAATACCCTCATATTGAGCCTTTGGCCACTGATTTTACTTATCTCCAAGTACCTAGCACACAATCTGCACCTAATAAATACTTCTAAATGGCCTGAGTGGGGGATCTGCTAGGCTCATGTGAGAAGATTAGAGAGGGGCTGGGGGGTGGTTCTCATCTCCTGACCTTCAGGCTCCTAGAGAAGTTAGCCTCACTCTACTGAGGCTTTTGTTTCTCCCTGAACACACCTAGGCAGGTGCAAGGTGTAGCATGGGGGTCATCAGGGACCAAGGCTGTGCTATAGAGACCTGGAGCTCTTCCCACAGGGGCGGGAGGGTGAGGGTCCATGATCTCCAAACAGATTTCATGGCCAGCAATGGTGACACATGCTTTAATTCTAAGATTCGAGAATTGATTCTGTAGGGTTAGGCCCAGCCCATGACCTCAGCCAGCCTCAGATTCCCTGCCAAGTTATGGAGAAGCAAACATCCTGGATTCTGCCCCTGCACATCGATGTGAGAACAGGAACTCTGATGGCTCCTTACCACGCCATCCACAATGACACTCATCTGATGAGGGTGTCTAGCGTCCAGTCTCCTGGGTCCTGATTAGCCAGAACCTTCCCTGCCCTGTCTGGCAGCCCCAGGCCCAACCTGCCATGTCACCCCACATGTAGCCTCTGCTGTCAGCCCCAGGCGACCTTTATTAAGCAACTACTGTGTGTTAGGCTCCATCCTTCACACAGATATTCTCCTTAATCTTCTGAACCCCCAAGAAGGGGGGCCTGGGATTTGACAGGTTTTACATTGAGGACACCAAGGCACCTCGTGTGAAGGGATCATTACCTCACAGGGAGGGTTTCAGACTGGGTTGTCTCTTGAGACTCTCCCAACAAGCCAGGCAGTGGCAGCAGTGGGCCAAATACTGTCCCCTCTAAAAAGACCAGACTGGGAGGCACTAGGACACTCACATGCCAGGCCTGTGGGAGGGGGGCTTTATGCAAAGACAGAACATTCCCCAATCCTGAAACCATGATCTGCAGGTGACAGACATGGAAACTGTCACCTCAGGACACACCCAGAGGAGCCATGCTGGTGGAAAGTGGGCCTGGCTGGCCTGTCCTCTGCATGCACCACAGGACCACCAGTACTCTTGTCCAGAGGCCCCCCAGACCGCATCAATCCTACTCACCATGTGTCCCCAAATGCCGGTGCTGGCAGGAAGTAGGAACGCAAGAGAACTTCCTTCTATGGCCCAGTGAGCTCATGAGTTTTAGAACATGTGTTTCCCACCCTCTCCCAGATATCACATCAGCCGGTTTCTAAGGCTGACCTTGCCCCTGATCTCTCTCCATCCTGACAAACACATAGAGTGGCTTGGGTGTCACTCTCCCCTGGAGAGAGAGCCCATGCCTGCCACGTGAAGTGCCATCAGAGGCAGGCGGGGCTGGGAGCTTCCACTAGGACACAAGTGGTATCCTCAGACCCTGTTCCCTATGGGGGATGAGGAAAACCCAGGCGCCCCTTCCACAATCCTCTTGAAAGGAGGTCCCTACAGAGGATGGTGGGGTGGGGGCTAGGTACAGGCTGGAGGGGGTGGAGGAGTGGGCCAAAGAACTGGAGGTGGTGGGGCGTTGCAAACGACCTTCTGAAATGCGAGCACGGATGAAGATGCAATTTGGGGATCTGACTCAGCCGACTGCCCGACGCAAGGGCCAAATTCAGCCCTGTGTCCGCCATGCTACTGCTCCTCCTCGCCTGGCAGCCGTGTCCTAAGGTGCCCTGGACAGGGAGGGGATAGAGGTATGGAGGGAGACAGGTGGTTTCTGGGAGAGCAAAGTGATATGGGGCTTCCTGGGTGCCTGTCGTGTTAACATGTACTTATTGCTGTTGGGGGCCAAGTCCTGTTTCAGTATCAGTGTTTAATCCCTATTGCCAGTCAGTGAGGCATGCGGTGTTCCTGCCCACATTTTACAGAGGGAGATAAGGCTCAGAGAGCTTCAGCACCTTGCCCAAGGTCATCCAGCCAGGAAGGGCAGGGACTAAGTTAGTGCCATCTGGGGCTGGTGGGTGGCCTCCTCTCAATGGGCTACAGCTTGGCTCTGCCCCTGAGAGGCATGGAATAGTACACAGGCATGTGCACAGGAGGACAGAGAGCCCTGCATAAGATCCCACAGGAAACAGGGACAGTCACTTTCTAAAGACTGGCTGCCCTGGTAACAAGAGACCCCACCCACCCCTACTGAAACCTGGGCCTAAAGCTCGGGTTCCTGGGACTCTCTGGGATTCCCAAAGAACCAAGAGCCCTTCTGATACCCTGGCCAAGGCTTGGATGTCTAGGAGCAGGTGTGTTTTTCTGGGTGAAGGTCCCCAGATTCATCAAGGAGTTACCCTAAATTGTTAGGAATACCCTTTGGGCGTCATTTGGTTTGGGGGGGACCCTGGAAGTGCCAAAATTATCTAATGTTTTTGGGTTATTAGACCTCCTTTCCTGAAGAGGTTGGTGGATGAGTGGAGTCCCTCCTTCCACAATACCCCAGGGACACTGAGGGAACCTTTTGGGCCAAGTCAGGCATTGGGGACCTGGGAGACCCTTTAGGGAGCAGAGGAAGGTGGCAAGGAACAGGGGGGCTGGCTCCTGCAAGTTTTCCCACCCAACAGGAAAAGAAAGAAAACAACCAGATCCCATGTACCCTCCCATGAGCCCTTTTACAAGTGACGGGCATGTTGCAGCGCCTACTCAGAAGAGACCTTCAGGTGTCCAAGGCAGGAAGTGAAGTCACAGCCCCAGTAAAGGGGCACCGTGGTGCCCACTCAGGAGGGCTAGTGGTCAGAATGTGGTGAGATCTCACATGGAAAATACTCAGGTCACATGTGCTTGGCCACAATCATGGATATGCCTGCTATGGTGCCGCTGCCTGATGACATGCTCTGCCCTTCAGAGCTGGGCCAGGAGAAGCTGCCCCTGCTCATATTAGCTCCAAGGCAGAGCCCCTCTGTGGGGCAAAATGCTCACCCTGCTGCTCCCAGGAACCACAGCCAGAGCACCACATGGCAGAACTTTCCAGGATGTGTGGGTCTCCGGGGAGGATAAGAAAGGACTGTGGACACCTATTCTCCCCCTTCCCCCCAGCACCAGCAGTCTTGGGTCCTAGGGTCTAATTACCCTCCCCACCCGAGGCTGATGCCTCTCCATCTCCAACTCTGGCTGGGCACCAGCCTCCAGGTCCCTGATCTTTGGCCCCATCCTCCAGGACATGGTGGTGGGGGAGTAGTGCCCTGTGCTGGGTACCCCCACCTTTGTCCTGGGAGGGCTGTAAAGGTGGGGAGACCTGGCTCTCTGAGTGCTGCAGGGCTCCTGGAAACACAGGATCCAGGGGCCAGAGTTGAAGGGCTCCCCTCTCCCGTACCCAAGTCAGTCCCAGGTCACTGCCTCCACCCTGACAGCTCCCCCACTTGAGGGCTCCCTACAGTATCTATGAAGTTCGGAGGCTTACAGCTTTGCCCCCTCCCGCCACCCCCCACTCCCACCCCTAGTGAAATCAGTACCCTCCCCATCCCCTGGGGGTCCGAAAATCTTCACTCACTCTGGCAGGGCTCACACATTCTCCTCCGCGTGTCCCTGGGTTCCAGACTCCGCGGAGCCCCTCTCTCCTGGTCCCTGCACCAAACCGTGTCCCCCTCCAGGACGTGCCTCCCTCTTTGGGCGCCCTGCCCGTCCCACCCGGTACCTGCGAGGCTCGGCTCCGGCGCGCGGACGAGACTGGAGGGGAAAGGGTCCCGCGCGGCCGCGGAACCCCGAGCGGGGGTCGGGGCTCAGGGCGCGGTCGGGGCGAGCAGTAGAGGGCGGCCGCGGGGACCAGGGGTGACGGGGCCGGGGGCGACGGAGCCGGGAGTGGCGGCAGCGGCGCATACCCCGGGGCCCTGCGCGCCGGGCCGGGCCGGGGGGCGAGCGCCCGCCCCGGCTGGGAGAGGAGGGGGCGGTGCGACGCGGGCGGCGCCGCCGATTGGACGAACCTGGCTTGGCACCGCCCCCGACGACCCCGCAAGCCCCGCCTCCACTTAAAGATCCCTCATTCCCGGGTGCCCCCTTCAGCCCCCCAACGCGTCCCTGGTCTACAAACTCGCCTCTCGCCCCGCGCGGTGAAGCTATAACTCTCGACCCCTACGGTCCTTGGGGCCTCCTAGACACCCCTTTCCCCAAAGCGGGTCCCCACAATACAGTCTTTTCACACCTGGGGGCCAGCCGCTCCGCCACACTTACTAGGGGGATAACTTTGCAAAGCGGCTGGACACTTCCCTCCTGAAATGACCTCTTCAGACTTTGCTCCTTGCGGGATAGCCTTGGGGTAGTGAAGCAGGAGGTTGCCAAGTGGGGGTGCATAGGAGCCCGCAGGAGAGGCTCTCAGGAAGGTGGTGAGTGCTTATTGAGGCTACTTCTTTGGAGCTCAGTCCTCCTCCCGGCTAGTCTTAACCCCCAACACCAATGTCAGGATGGCAGAACAGCAGAAGCCTGTTTGGGGAGTCCCCCATGCCCTGGCCCTTTCCCCTGATACTGAGGGTGTCCTTGTGCAACTCATTCATTCAACATTCATGGTGTTTTGGAGCCAAGGGGACCTGAAGGTGGGGCACCCTTTCTTCTTCCTGCCCCAGACATTCTCCCTCCTTGGCCTTACCCTGTTCTCACTCAACTTGGGGTGACTGAACCCCAGCCTGGGGGCCCCTGGGGACAACAGTTCTCTCGTCTTTCTCCCAGCCCCCCATCTGTTTTCTTCTGGACAGGGTCAGGACCATGTGATTGCTCGGCACAGCCTGAGGGCAGCTGATCTGTTTTGTTTCCTCTGCAGTGCCCAGAAACTGGACTGAATGAACCAACAAACTGGATGGCTGCTTGGGCAGAGGTGACCCCATGAGCTGGTGGTGGGAATGCTCAGCAGGGCCAGGTTGTGGGCCAGCATCAGTGAACAGGATTTCTGTCCCTCATTCCAAACTGCCAGGAACACTCCGAGGATGGCCTGGCCACAGTGGCAGTGCCCAGAGCTGTGATGGTCCACAAGTGGGGTCCTGGGCATCATCCATGCCCAGTCATGTCCAGAGAGGCACCGAGAGAAGGGCAGTGGAGATGCTAAAGGGGTGCATTCTCAGCCATGCACAAAGAGCAACCCTTTCCTCTGCACACCCCCAGCCACTCACCAGGACCTCCTAGGTCCCCCACTTGGCTCCACAGTCTCCCCTCAGTTCCCCGGGATCCCCTGCCCCCAGTCTTCCTTAGCACCCCCCTCTTCTCTTGTCCCCCAGTCTTCCTTAGGCCCCCAGCTCCCCCTCAGTCCCCAGTCTGCCTTAGCCCACTCCAGCTTCCCCCAGGCTCCTCTTGGGCCTCCACTCTCCCCTCATGCTTCTTCAACCTTTCCTCAGCCCCTGTTCCCCGGTCTCCCTTTAGCCTGGGTCCCACCTCCAGGCCTTTGCATGGACAACTAAGGGCTCTTTCTAAAGCACTACATTGATGGACCCACTCACATTCCTGCCCTATATTCAATGCCTGGCACCTGACACCCTAGTCTGCCTGTCCCATGAGAAGCAGTCATACCATGCCCATGAGTTGACCCTGGCCTGTGCAGGATGCTATGGGGTCCCTGCAGCATCTGACACTTTCTGAATTCAAGTCCAACATGCTAATGTCCTGAAATTCAAAAAACAAGGGCTACAGCTCCCTGAAAGCTGGTCCCCTGCCCTGCACAGGCCCCATAGGCTCTGCACACACCTTCTCCCTCTGAAAAGACCCCTTCTTCCCCTTTGGTCTCATCTACCTTAGGAGATCAGGGACTCCTTCCAAGGGGGCCAAACTTAGGATGGTCAACCTGGTGACCACTGCCTCCCTTTCCACATCTGCCCTGCAGCCTACTTGAACCTCCTCCCTCAGTGAAGCTGGCAGCGATGGGCCTCTGGGTGGGAACCCCTTGAGTCTCCATTCCAGACAAAGCTTCCCATCAGCCCACAGCTGGCTAGAAGGGACCTGGGAAGCTGCAAATGAACTTGTTGTTGGGATGTTCCTGGGGAGCCACGCCCAACCATCATCCCCCAGAAATGGCTGGCAGACCTAGCAGCCAAGGGGATATCTACTGCATAGGAAGCCCTAAGTCCTGGGGCAGTGACCAAGCATCTGGGTGCAGGAGGCCTGGGAGAACTTCATAGGAACTGAGGGACCCAGAAGGAGTGCCCTGAGGTTGGGGTGAAGGGGAGGCCGAAGCCACAGAAATATCAGACCTATCCTGGGTTTAAAAGATGGCTGCCTAAACAGAGGCTGTGCCCTGGGCCCCATGAGTGTGGGGATGGCAGCATGGGGAAATATAGCCATTCATTCACCCAGCCATCCACCCACTGATGCACCCACCCACCCACCACCCACACATCCACCGAGCCTCTTCTCTGAGTCTAGTGTTGATCTTCTAGAGGGGGAGAAACCCTCTTCAAATAAGGTATGAAAACAGCAAGAATTATAGATAAAAGCATTGGGAAAAGATCCAACAAAGTCACAAAAAATAGGAACAGGGGCGAGACTTTACGGTGGTCAGAGGAGGCTCCCTGGAAGAGGGGACATTCTAAAGGGTCCAAGTAGCTGGTGCTGGGAAAGCACGGAGGAGGATGCACTCAGCATGGGCAATGGCAAGGCAAAGGCCCTGAGGTGTGCTCCAGGGCCTCACTCAGAGGATGTGGTTCAGGGAGAGACTGACTAGCTAGCTAGTCAAAGATGGACAGGGGTCGCCCCCACAGGGCTGTGTGTGAGTGAATTCTGAGCAAAGCAGGAGTGCTGGAGGGGTGATCTCCCTAGGCTGCTATGAATTGGTGGAAGGTGTAGAAAGGGGAGCAGGGGGCCTCCCCTGGTGGAGCAGTGGTTGAGCGCTGGGCTTTGAAGCTGCCTGCAGCCTCTGCAGCACTGATTCCATTCCAGGCTGCATGAGAGTGTCCCACATGGCACGCAGACCTCTCCTACTGTGTCCGCTGCTCCCCTCAGCAGTGTATTTCGTCTCTCTACCTGTTCTGTTCCCCACTCTGGCTCTGGTGAATTCTCTCATTCGCCCGCGTTTCTGACTGTACCCAGTGCTTGTATAAATAAATAAATAAATCTTTAAAGAAAAAAAAAAAAAAGAAAGGGGAGCAGAAAGGCCAGGGGGAACTGGGGCAGTTGCTGGGCTCCCCCAGATTCAGGGGCCAGGAGACGCGTATTCA